AACTAATTCATTTTAGGACCAGGTGTCCATGGAAATTTCCAAAATTTACAACTTTTTGGTCATTCTCATTGAACTGGAAAAATTTCTGTCTTTATTACATCTAATATTATGAAGAAATCAGTCCCCGCTGTACTTGGCTAGAGATTGATTTAGTTAAGCTTTTAGGTAAAATTCCGGCTCTTTCAGCAGGGCTTTATTTAGGTCCCTAATTCCCTAATCTCTTAATTATTTAACTACTTAAGTAGAAATAAGTTGAAACCGGTTACTTTGTACTTGAATATTTGTAGTCTTAGGAAAGAAGTGGAAAGACAAATTTTTATGACAATAATACATAAATCGTAAATTTAAGGAAAATAAATTCTAGAGCTTTTTTTGTACCTTATGCATCTCATTCATTAAATTTACTTGTAAATGATGCTGCCAAAGTAACAATTAATTTTTTAACATTGTACAAAAATTTTACACTTTTTTCCCTGCATCCCGTTATAGATGGGACATATGAAATCGTAATATCACTGGTTTAACATTGAAATCCGTAAGTAATATAAAATCGGAGAGCAGAATAAATATATCAAATATTTTAATAGATTTTTTAAACTCCCGTCAACTATACGGAACTATCGTAAAAACGTACTGGTAAATTCTTATTGGTTGGGTTAAGTTATAAATCTACTCGTTATTCACATCATCGGGTGAGGGCAGCCAAATATCTAGCAGGCAGGTGGATAGCCCAGAAATGGTTACTGGATAGAATCATTGTAAGCATTATACGAGGCGTGTTTTTAAAGTAAGTACCGTTTTGAAATATAAAAAAAACAAGCAAACATTTTTAACAAAATTTTTATTTATGTGAAAGCCCATATTTTACACTACTTTTCTACATAATTCCCATTAATATTGAGACACTTATCGTATCTTGGGACCAGCTTTTGTATTCCATCCTCAAAGAATGTTGCCGCCTGATGAGACAACCAGTGCAGAACGGTCGTTTTGACTTCGTCGTGATTGTTATGGCGCTGCCCTGCCAGATGCTTCTTCAAATGCAGAAACAAATGATAGTCACTCGGCGCTAGGTCGGGACTGTATGGAGGGTGGTCTAATTGTTCCCAGCCAAATGATGTGATTAGGTCTTGAGTTTGATTTGCCGTATGTGGACGAGCATTATCGTGGAGCAAAACGACACCCTTGCTCAGTAAGCCCCGCCTTTTGTTTTGTATTGCACGGCGCAGTTTTTTTAAAGTCTCGCAGTATGCAGCTGAATTGATTGTTTCACGATGAGGCAAAAAATCAACAAGCAACACTCCGTATCTGTCCCAAAACACCGTGCACATGATTTTCTGAGCAGAAATTGTTTGCTTGAACTTGACTTTCCTTGGAGATGATGAATGTCGCCATTCCATGGATTGTTGCTTTGATTCCGGTGTAACGTAGGCTACCCACGTTTCATCGCCTGTAACAATACGACTTAAAAAATCATCTCCTTCGTCACTGTAGCGCTCAAGAAAAGTCAATGCACTGGCCAAACGTTTGGTTTTGTGCTCCTCCGTCAACATTTTCGGCACCCAACGGGAACACAACTTCCGATAATTTAATCGTCCGGTCACAATTTCATAGAGAACACTTCTTGAAACTGCAGGAAACTCTTTAGATAAAGATGAAATCGTGAATCGTCTGTTCTCTTTCACTCTACAGTCCACTTTTTCAATCAAATCGTCGATAATGACTGAAGGTCGCCCACTTCGTTCCTCATCGTGAATGTTTGTGCGGCCATTACTAAAGGCCCTAACCCATTTTCGTACCATTCCTTCACTCATAACGCTTTCACCATAAACTTCACTGATTTGGCGATGAATTTCAGCCGCTTTCGAGCCTTTAGCACTGAGAAAACGAATAACGGCACGCACTTCGCAGTCGGCGGGATTCTCAATGAGCGGCGGCATTTCAATAACACACAAACAACAGTAAACACAGTCGATTGGCTCCGTAATGGCGTTTGTGGCTTCCCAGCAGATGTAGGTACACAGCGCGCATGCGCTAAGTGCCGACTGCAGCGCTCCAGTGGCGTTATATTAAAACGGTACTTACTTTAAAAACACGCCTCGTACAATATTTCAGTGTGTAGCTTCCATCAGCCAAACCAGCTGAGGTTGGTGCTATGTAAAGTGCAGTGGCGTGCCGTCATTAGAAGTGTTGGAAGCGCCGCTTCCCTCGTATTCTCTAAAAAATAAATAAATATTAATTTTAATTATATGAAAATAATCGCACAGTATTTTATTATAACCGCATTACGTATCTTATTACAAATTTCTATACTACACGTGGAAAAAAAAAATTGCTATTGTATATTAGAATATTAGTGGCGGAGTGGAATCTCCTGTATTTTCAGATTACGAAAAGCCAGATTTGCGCATGCGCTTTACAGAGCACCAACCTCACCCGGTTTAGCCGGTGGAAGCCTACGACCTTGGGTGAAAGCTGCACACATATAAAGATTACAATTCTATCAAGGACCGGTTCTGGGCTGTTAGCCGCCTGCCCACTAGATATTTCGATTACGTGAATAACGAGTAGATTTATAACTTAACCCAACCGATAAGAATTTACTGGTATGTTTTTACGATAGTTCTGTATAGTTGACAGGAGTTTAAAAAATCCATTAAAATATTTGATATATTTATTCCGCTCTCCGATTTTATATTACTCACGGATTTCGATGTTAAACCAGTGATATTACGATTTCGTACATCCCATCTTTAAGGGGATGTAGAAAAAAACGTGTACAATTCTTGTATAATGTTAAAAAATTAACCGTTACTTCGACAGCGTCATTTACAACTAAATTTAATGAATGAGAGAGATGCACCAGGTACAGAAAAAGCTCTAGAATTTATTTTCCTTAAATTTACGATTTATGTATCCGTTTGTCATAAAAATTTGTCTTTCCACTTTTTTCCCGAGACTACAAATATTCGAGTACAAAGTAACCGGTTTCGACTTATTTCTACTTAAGAAGTAGTTAAATAATTAAGCGATTAGGGAATTGGGGACATAAACAAAACCCTGATGAAAGAGCCGGAATTTTACTTAAACAAAAGCCTAACCGGACCAATATCTAGCCGAGTACAGTGGGACTGATTTCTTCGTAATATTAGATGTAATAAAGACAGAAATTTTTCCAGTTCAATGAAAGTGACTAAAAGTTGTAAATTTTGGAAATTTCCGTGGACAACACCTGGTCCTAAAACGAATTAGTTAGAAAACAAAAGACGGACAATCTATTAAGTTTAACATATTTAGACTTTTACAGCTATGGTGAGAAACGTTTAAAATTTACAAGAACCCTGTCGCGTCTTTTGAGGTATATTAGTGATGCGACAAAAGAAACATTTGACATTGCCAAATCCCGAGGGTATCGGCACCCTCGGGATTTGGCAGCCCGCGTGCATGTACAGTACACACCGCACACCTAGCAGGACCGTCTCTGATTCCACTCGTAGGGAGCTATTTGACTAAGTGATTAAGATTTAAAGAGTAAAGAATATTTTATGTTATTTTCATGTACGTTTCATTACAAAGTTATATTTAATTATAATTTTCTTTAAAAGTATATTCATACAATTGAAGAATGTTTTGTACCAGGTATGTATATCCACCACACATTTTATTTCACCAAGTAAGTTTTTATAATTTTATTTTTAATTTTAGCCCTTATATCGTGGCTAGCGATTCGGAATGTAATTGCGATATTGAAAATTTATTTTAAAAAAGTTTTGGCTCGAGATCATATAATGAAAAAGAAAACATTATTAAAAGAGAAAGGCCAATGCCTAAGTTAAATATAAACACTTCAATAAAAAAATTTGTTCGACATTTTCACGATAAAATGGCTCTGTAAATGCATAAAAATGCATTTACAGAGTGAAATTAGTGTGTGGAATAAGAATGTCTTTGACAATTTAGCTGGCAAAAGACACGAAAAATCGTCGATTCTTTCGTATTTGAAGCAATTTGGAAATCGAAGCGGAATAGAATTTAACATTAGTAAATAATATAAAATAAATATTGAAAATTATAACGAGATAGTTACGGTTAATAGATATATTATATCTAAATAAATAGATGTTATATGTTTTTATCAAAGCAAGAATTGGCATTTAGAGGGCATATGGAATATATTGGATCTAATAACAGAGGTAATTATAATGAACTTGTTTATTAAGTACGTCAGATAAATAATCTATTAAAAATACATTTAAAGAAAGAATTAACTGATTGCCCCTGGATGTCGGCTTCTTATAAAAACACAGCTTCCCTATCATCAAATGTCATGGCACGCCCCTGGTAAAGTGCATGTGTGAATGCGTATAATCTGGCTGCTTGGAAGCCGACCCAGTTTCGACAATACAGCGCTTCCATTCCGCCACTTATATTCAAATATGCAATAGCAATCTTATCGTTTTTTTTCACATGTAGTATAGAAATTTGTAATAAGATACATAATGCAGTTATAATAAAATATTACAAATCTCCTAATCCAGATACTGGTATTTTGCATAAAATCGTACTTACTAAACCTTAAGAAGTACCAGACAATAAAAGTTTAGTAAGTATGATTTTATAAATAAAATATGAATTTTAATTAATTCAAAGTATGTTAAAATATGAAAATAATTGCACAATATGTATTTATATTTTAGAAAATACATTTTTATAAACTAATTCCTCTATTCCAAGGACAGAATGCCACTAGAAATTATAGTAGTTTTAATAAAGAATAGCAATTATTATAAAATAAATGTGTAATGATAGAACATTTAGAATAAATTTTTAATTGTATCAGTAGGAAATCTTATGGTATACTGATTTATACTTACACCTGATTTTTATTTCAGGAAATCTGCCTTAGGAAAATCAATATACTATAGGTAGATATAAGCACTGTTCTATTTATAAAGATTAATTATAAATTTCTAAATATTTATTTCTAAAATAGAACCTACTTGGAGCACTCTTCTTAATGATTTCCAGGTTAAAACTACTGCTACAGTGAAATTTTTTCATGCTATTTCTGACAACAATACAATTTTTTAACTCTGGATTTTCAACTAACATTCCTTTATAACCAGCAACACGAATTTGGAAGGCACAAGCTCTATATTGTTTCTTATGATTTAAATTATTTTTACTAAGTGATTCATTTATCAAATAAATAAAAATATTAAAATAAAATATTTATAATTTTAGCATTCACTGAATTTCTTAAAATTTAAACATATAATAAATTAAATAATACTTAAACTTTAATTTGAACCTTTTACAAATAAATGCAGAAATTGTTTCATTTAATTATTAGCAACTGAATTTATATGCAACAATATTCTGTATTTTCATCACATATATTTATTAAATTACACACACTAATTTACTAACATATTATCAATTTTTTTTAATTTTTAAATACAATCACACTGTTTTTAGCATTAGCATGTCTCAAAACATGCAAGTTAAAATCTATCTTATAAAATTCCATTATTTATCTGTAGCTGCTTCCTAGAATTTAAACCTTTATCATTCTAATACTGTTGATTCTTAAAATCTATCTTCAGAAACATCAACAATCAAAATAAAAAGAACAAATCGCATCTCAAGAATATTAATCACAAAATGAAAAGTATCCATTCCACTATCATCATCGTTTAACAAAAAATAATTGTCTTTCTCTCCTAAACATTTCTAAAAATAACCCTCCACTCCTGCTATAAACCTCAACAGGTATTTTTATTACTTTCCTTTTGATCCTCCTCCTCTTCTAACCTTGATATTACTCCTATCCCATTCCTAAGGCCCAATACAAACTGGTTTTTATGTCATACAACTGCTTTCAACTACTCTGATGGTTGCCACTAGTCAGCAAATGAAAATACCCAACAAGTTGGATATGCTTTTTGTCAAATGAACTGACCTTGAGTCTATGGGCTAGTACACATTAGGCATTGTGTGCTGCATTAAATGTGTGTTAGCAGCATACACACCGTGCATTTAGCTCAGTGTTTGATGACCAATCATACTGGCTCAGTTTGGAAATGGACGCAAAAGTAATTGCTTGTGTGTGGCTCCTCTATTGTCGCTATAAAAGACGATGGCAGAGGCAAAGAGAATTTTGGGTGCACCCAATATTACAAGATAGACTGGCACATGGAATGTTTGTGACATTGTATCCAAAACTAAGACAATATGAACCCAAGTTTTTTAATTATTTTAGAATGTCTATAAAATCATTTGACGATGACTGGTCTCTTTTGGATTTCATCAATAAATAGATCAGTATCGAAATGATTGTTCTCCATTTCAGCCAATGTGCATCCACTCTATCCAAAAGCGCGCGATCAAATGTACAACAAAATGGCAGCACAGTATCTCAAAGCACGCGGCTGACACCTGCAAAACGTGCGTTCTAACCAAAATCTATCAACATGTGTTTGGCCAGAAACGCGCGTTTGCATGTGTATACCTATGCAGACCTCTTGGTTCTTTAAAATGCATGTTACCAAAGCACACACTTCAAAACACCTAATGTGTACTAGCCCTACCACTGGATGATCTACAATCACCAGCTTGATTGCAGACAAATTTGCTTTGTTGTTGGAGACCAGTTTGTTTCAATATAGATTTTAAAACTAGTTTGTGCGATAAAACTACTGCTAACATTATGTTGCTTGAAACTGTAATGTGCATGAATTTGCATTATTTGAACAAAATTGCCACTTGTTATCAACCTCAACTCAATAATTTGCAAATGTGTTGCATAAAATCTAATCTGTCAGATATTTTGCTCATTGGTGTATCATTGAACTAATCAATGACAAGAGTGAACTTTTGTTAGATTGCATTCTCACCACTCTTGAGAAATAAATGCTCTTGCACAAGCTCAGAATAACTTGTAAGTCATATTCCAGTGCATTGTGTAAACATCTGAATCATCAATAAATCTTGTTGGAGTGTTTCTGAGTACAACAAAATGTTGGTAGTAGTTATATCATATAAACCAGCCTTTTCTTTCCAGCAGTTTTTTCTTTCTTTTTTTCCAATCATCCATTTCAATGCATTTAGTAAAACGTTGCAGTCCTTATTACTGAGGACTATTCTTTTTAATTCATCTTCATAAATCTAGATTTTTTTTCTGTATATTGAACATTTCCCATCTGACATTTATTTTTTTATCATATCCTTCTGTGTCAAAGCCACTGTGTTACCACTTTAGTCCCTTTTATACTTTTAATCTTTCCCCAAGAGCCTCACATAACCCTAATGTACATTACTTTCATCCATCTTCTCTTTAAATAAAAGCACATTATATATATATATATCTGCATTTCCACTATCTTCTTTTTTCATTCCTCAGGACACCAAAACCATCCTATTTATTTTAAATACAATTTTTACTTATCTTTTCCTCTACATCTACAAAATGCATCACAATACTAAATTTATCATTAAATTAAAATAAAACTTCTCCAGAAACTGGGATATATTATATTGTACAAAAATTCACTATCTTTATATTCACCCAGCTGATTTTTCCAAAAACATTTATTTTTTTTCAGAAAAATCAGCTGGGTGAATATGATCTACTTCTAAGATCTGCTTCAGGTAAAAAAAATTTTTAAAATGTTTGAAATGTGAAAATGACAAGAGTCATTTTCACATTTCAAACATTTTATCATTATCAAGAGTCCACAGATTTAATATTAGAACATCAAAATGTTAGAGGTTCCACCTGTTTAAAATTTTTACTTGAAGCAAGTCTTAGAAGTAGACCAAAAACATTTTTTTTTTTTTTTTGGAAAAATCAGCTGGGTGAATATAAAAGTAGTGAATTTTTGTAAAAATTTATCATTCTCAATTCAAAGCATACTGACCTATAATTTCCTTAGGATGTATTTTATTTAAATGAGACTAAGATTTTCTTAATTCTTTAATAATCATATTTAGATGACATAATATGTATATTTTAATCATAACCACAATGATAATTTTCATTCATGCTCCTCTAGTCTCACACCCCATTAAAGAGCAATGTCATAGTTTGAGAACCACTGACTTAATGAAATATTTAGTTGTTATGAAAAAATCTACACTATTTAGGCTATAGATAAAAACAATGTAGAATGATTTTTTTTTAATGACAACTGTCTACTTTAGTATCAACATCAATTTTCAGCAGCTTAGATTTAAAAAATGGTTGTGCAAGAAAAGATCCTTTCCATTGTACAGTCATTATCATCATGTGTAAGTTATGTAACTGTTTAAATCCTTATGATCAGTAAATAAGCAACTGTGAACTTAATATAAGGGAATTCAATTATGGACTAGGAAAGTGATATGAAGTAAATATAGAATAACTGCAGCTTAGAAGTATGGCCAATTTTAAATGATGTAATAAGTGAATTCTCCACTTAATATCCACATACATAAATATAATGATAGAATAAAATAAAATAAATAAATGAAAACTCTGCTAACTGTGCCACTATGCTATATCATCAAAAACAGAACTTTGACTTTATTTCATTTAAAATGTTCATTACATTTTTACTAAATGGCATCTTATCCAAAGTATTTTTTTCTTTCTCAATTTTGATTCCTTAAAGATGATCATAACATGTTATGTCTGTTGAAATTTTGGAACATTGGCTCTTTTCAGCTCTTCACACAAAAATGACTGCTGACCCCTGCCTTAAATGTTCTAAACCCCACCCTAAATGGTTCTTTTTAATACTCTAATCAGGGGGTCACCAAACTTTTTTAACCGTCGACCCCCAACCACTTTCCAAAGCCTCACATTGACCCCCACCGTAAAGTTTTATTACAAGTGTACGTGTATAAGCAAAATAAAAAAAAAAAAAGGTTGTGACCCCTTAGCCGCATCAATCCCATAATCGACCCCCTAGTCACATCGCCCCCCATTGATGTTGCATCGATATCGACCATTTTGGCGACCCCTGCTCTAATCAGTCATTATTGGATTTTGCCATATTTATTTAATTTCTATCTACTCGGCATTGATCAACTTTACGCTGGGGTGTCGGCAATACAATAACTTGCTATACAGTTTGACTGACGGTGAGCACTCTTGACAGCTACTTATCCCTCACCGTCATTGATCAACTTTTTCATAATTCTACCAATGGTATTGAAATAAATAACAATCTTTCACTACATACTATTCGCAGATGATCTAGTAATACTAGCTCCCACCAAAATATCATTACAAAGAAAAATTAACTTTCAACAGTGGACTAGTCAAACCTGTTTCTTCCCCAGGTAGTGGAGAATAAACGTGGAAAATTTTAGAAGTATTTTTTAAATCATTATTTCTCATTACTTTTTCGGAAAAAGATTTTGTAAACAGTTATGTCTAGTAAAGAAAAGTCTTTTTTTAATGTTACATAATTAATTTTCTATGTAAATGGTTTTTTGTGGTAGTTATAGGCTAAATTTTGGCAATACCTCTCAAAATTGCTTGACTATAGTCGTCCTTCACCACTGCCACATGATCGCCCTTGATGACTATAGTCGTCAGTCACTGCTGAGTGGTTAACCAGCTAAATCTTTATTTTAAATCAATTCACTTAGTAATAAATCCAGCTAAAACCAACATTATTATTTTTCCCAATAATAGCAAAATATCTGAAAAAGAAACTAAAATATACCATGACAATACTCTACTACAAACAGTTAATGAAGTAAACTATCTGGGTGTCGTCTTTGATTGGAACGTAACCTTCAAAGCTCAAATCTCAAGAATCAACATCAAAGTAAAGCAGGCTATCGACAACCTTCTATTTCTATGCTCAATCCTGAAAACCTCTAATTTGAATATCCATATGAAACTATACAATTCTATAATCAACCCTATTATTTACTATGCAAGCCCTATCTGGAGTCTGGATTATTTATATAAACTCAAGTCATTTCATATCTATTTCCTATGTAAATTATTCCATCTAGAAAGAACAATTCCCAGTTATGCTCTCTGACATGAAACAAATCGTATCTGGTCATTTCCCCTGCTATTAAAACGTATAATTAAATTTTATTATAAACTCAAATTCAAAAGTGACAATAATATAACTTTCCTACATCAAGAAATAATCAAGCAGAGCAGAAACGTAAATTACAAGCAGCTTTGGCAATACAAATTATGTAAAATTTTGAACTCATTTGGCATATCAGAACTATTATTTAAAGATATCATTCAGGATTGGAAATATGGCTATACTCTTCTATTAAACTCTGCCATATCTCAATCTATAAATAAAGATCAAATTAAGATAAAAATAAAGATCAAATATCTCAATCTATAAATAAAGATCTCTTTAAACCATAGTAATTATCATCCCTGGTACACCAACTTATTCGAAATCACATCTTCTCAGCCGTATATGTGGCCACCAATTGATTTGAATGTGAAACGACTAATAATCCAACTATGCCTTAACAAAATATTCTCTCTTTGTCAATAATATCTACATAAACTTTTCAATTTGTTGTTTATGTCAATCTGAAGACTTCTCAGCATTCCACCTTCTACAAAACTGCCAAGAACTTACAAATATGCATGAACAATATATCATATGAATATGTAACTATAGATCACCTCTTAAACTATCAATCGATAACTTTAATAAATTTAACTTTCTCAATAAAAAGGATCTATATAAAATTTATAATTACTTTGTTAAAATCACAGAAAAAAAAATTAAATAAATGTTAAATTAATAGTAAATAAAAATCATTATAAAACTTAAATGTCCTAATACGGTATTTTTTACTTATTCTGTTCATGTCTATAAGATATAAGGCAAAATGACTGTACAGTTCTGTTAAATTATGACTGTTGTATTATCAATATAATATTTTTGTAAACTAAAATTGTTAACTAATATCATCTTTATGTATTACCCCCTGTAACAGGGAAATCTCTCCCTTTCACTAATATATTTGAATTGAATATTGGTCAAATATTTTTACAATTTTTTAAATCATTTAATTCACAAATGATTTAACAATTGATATAAATAAATTAAATTCATATTATAATGCTATTGCTCTTAAAAAATTAACATAAAATAAATCTTACCTTATTTACAAAATCTGATGATATCATACCAACTCCATCAGTAAATATATATGGTGGAAAATTTTTATCTTCTCTTTCACAAGTGATATCTGGTGTACTTTGTATGTTAAATTCATTTATTTTCAAATAAAAAGCTTCTTCGGAATTTGAAAAACATTGTCCTATACGAGCCATTAATTTGGCTACATTGTTGATTTCACTAAAATCACCTAACCACTTAATAATAGATTCAGATGTATTTCCATCATTATCTGATGCATACATCCATATTCCATGATCTCTCAATTGGCTAGGTGATGCTCCAAGAAATTTATAATGTCTTCCTGCTATCTTTATACCATTATTAAGATATTTTCCAACAGTGCTTTTCAAAAATTGATGTGCATTGTTTTTTGTAAGACCAAATGTAAGCTTATTGAGATTATCATCTCTAATTGAGACTCTCAGTGAAAACTCTGGATCATAATGACGAAGTACTCTATTTTCAAAATGTTGTTGTAATGGAAGACATAAAATTCTTGATGGTGTTATAAAAACTCTTCTTATTAAACATAATCCATCTATTTTATCATCATCATCTTCATCATCAATATTACAGAAATATTGAAATAATATCTTTATTACTTGAGGGAAAAAAAGTATAACACCTTTTTCTAAACAGTTATAAAATTCAAATATTGCTTTCTCTAAAGCCTCAGAATTATGTTCTTCATATATTTTTAATTGTTCGAATAAATCATTCCACTGAGAATAGTGATAAATTATCTGATCTGACATTTCAAAACTTCTTCCATTTAATGCTCTCCACGCATAATGGCATCTAAATGTGCTAAAGGGACAATGTATTTTGAAAAATTGCCATTCATGTTTATGAACTGTAGTATAGTATATATTTTCTGGTGAATATCGTTGATATAATCTATTAATTATATATCTAGATCTAAATTTATCAGGAATGCAAATCTTTACTACAGGACATTTACTCAAATTTTGCCCTTTAATTCTTAAATAAGATTTGTTACATATACATCCAATATCTGTAACTCTTTCCCAAAATTCAGTATTACAGATTTTATCTTTCAGTTTAGTATTAGCTACTATTGTTCTATTCAATTGTTTCTGTATTGAAATAAAAATTTTAGGAGGATAATGCAAATAAAAATATATAGAAATAAATGATTCGTTAGAATGATTTTCAATGATTATTCTCATAATATCATTATAATTAATAGTAAATCTGTATAATTGTGAGGTTTCTGAATAGCAATTATCATCATGTGGATAATAAAGAAATAATTCCAAACTTCTTTGATCATGCCAAAATGAACATGAAATTTCAATTTCACCTCGATTTTTTATTTCAAAATGCTGCATAAAACATCGAACTTTAATAAAAGTGCCAAATGATATACTTTCAATTTGAATATCTTCATGATTTTGATATTGTGTTTCAAAGTATTTTTCACTAAATTTTAATAAATAACTTAAGTCATCATTGCAATTATCTGATGGAAACTGTAAACACCATCTTTTAATTATCTCCATGTAGGAAGTAAAAACATTTAGGTTCAAATTTGTAATAATGCATTCAATTTCATATTGAAAGTTTCCACACTTTGTAGTAGATATTTCTTTTAATTGTCCAATTGTTAAAGAATGATTAGGTTCATCTTCAACAAAATTATTTAAAAATGATGTAAGATATGTTAAATGTTTATTTTCTTTTTCGTTGATTATTTTCTTTGAATGAAAAATAAATTTAAATTTCATTTTGTATACAATTCCTTCTTTCATAAAATGATAATGTTAAATATAATTTTTCTTAAAATTCTTCAGTATCTGTAAAATATAAAATTTATTACATTATATGATAAATTTAAAAACAATACATTATATTTATAATTGTATAATTTAATTTTAAATTCAATAAATTTTATTTTGACTGTACATATGTAGGATTTTTATTTCAATAGTGAACAGTCCTATGCTTAGCATTGTGAAATAATGCAATTTTCAGATCATGGTAGTAACCCATAAATATTTTTCAAAGCTAACCAAATTTCACAAAAATTATTATGTTTTGATAATGAAACAGATTCAAAACATGTCCCATCTAACTTTAAAAAGTTAGGACTACTCTAATATACAGTATATATAGATTACATTTTACAAATTTAATTGAGACATCAGATGTGCAGAACATGATGAAATGCACAAACGACATTCAAGGAAAATTTGTGGTAGAAAAGTATTATGGCAATAGCCACAAAATCATTACAATAAAACAGAGTAGAATCTTAACTAATCCTATACAGCATGTCAATAAAAATGGACATAGATAGCATTACATGTTCTCTTCTTGTGGCATCCAGTTTCCTGGTTGTGTTGTGGTTTTTCATATTAGCAATGCAAAAATTGACGTGAACAAGAGCTAGAAAGATCACAATTACAATGCTATTACTGTTCAAAAGGTATATCAGGTAGTGTAGCTGAGGAATGTGGCATGATGCCTGAATTAAAAGCATTATCACAGATAAAATGTATAAGATTCCCTAAGATGAGTCACAGTATTATGCATAGTACAGTGTCAGGGCCATGACAATCTCCTCCAAACTGGAAAGATAATAAAAAAGCATCATAATGTTTATAGACATATAAGTATATTGACAGTGTTCTGAGGTTTGGCTTGGGAGCCAAAATCATTTGAAACAGTTATTAGTGTCATTGACTAATAACTAGATACTAACTTAAAATAGTTAATATTAAACAAAAGACATATTAGATTTATTCTCACTTCAAACAGGTGTCAAATTGTTAGTTATGAATATTTTTTCATGTTGAATTTACCCCTAAATTTTTGAATTTACATGCTTTCACTTCTTTTCTCCTTTCCAATTAAGTAATTATAATTGTTAAGTAATTTGTATTAATAATTTTTCAACTCTTTCTTCTTATATACTTAGCTCCTCCCCAAAATAATCATATATTGAGAAGGATAATGGCAGGTTGGGACTTTATGTTACCTTTGAATAAAAAAGCAACTGCATCAAGATTGGGAAGCATGAATCCTGAATTCATAACTACAAGAAAAATTTCAGGCCCTTGCCTCCTTCAAAATTATTCAGTGCCAACTTAAGTTTTCTTTGTCTCTCAGTCTATCAAAGAATTTGACCAATTTAAAATTTTAAAAATTTCATATCTATTTTCAGGTTAAACTATAAGATTCCAACTAGAATGTACTATTCACCTGACCCAGGAACCCCTCATGAAAATATCCTTACTACAGGATTGTTGCATCCATTTACTGAAGTTTGTCTAAAGAAGGCCTTTGACTCCTGGTTCCAAATGTTTTTGACAATTACATGCCATTTCATATTAATTAAAAAAAATATCAGGGTCATACACAGTTAAATGAAAATGCTATGGAACTTCAGGTGCATCCCCTCTCTTGTCTCAGGGTTTGTTGATGTTATGACATAGTCTATGGACATTAATTGGAAAAATTCACCAAAACATTGGAAAATCCTGTTTTAAAATGTGAAATTGGAATGATTTACTATTTCTGATGAGTTTAGTCACTTGTTACCTCACTGCTACTTACAGTTATGTGCTTGCAGTATTCTTGTTTACCAAACCATAGCTTTTCTGGTTCAATTTTTATAAAAAACTGAAATCAGTTCTAAAAAGAATCAAAAATGAAAATATTTTAAATTTCAGAACTCTTTAACACTATTTAATGGGTGAAATTTCATATTGGCTTGACTAAAATGAAATCTTCACTTGTCCTTCATATGGAAAATTTGCAAATTAATAATTGCACCTTTTCGGAATTGTCTTGATTAAAAAGCTAAATATTGATATCCTCTTTATAACATGGTAGTTACTTTACAAAAAAATTCTGTATAATGCACATCCATGCTATATGAAACAAAGGATTAGTACAAAACAGAGGGTTAGGTTTCAAAAGTTAGCAAAAGTATACTATTCTTTTTCGTAATGAAGAAAAATAGGTTTATTAAAGCAATCAACAATCAACTAATAATCACAATTAAAACTATTGCATGTTAATACAGTATTAATCTTTTCTTCATTGCTAAATACCATCAAATGAAAATGTTTTCTTTTTGGCAAAATATCATTATCCGAACTTTTCTGTTGACATTAATCTAAAGTATCAGCAACATCTTGATTTTTCTCTAATTTTTTCATAAAATCTAATATTTTCATTTGCTTGCATTTGCCTAAGAGACCTTTAAAAATTTAATCTTTTTATGTAGCAACTTTTAATTTAATCTATAAAAACAAAACATAGTGACAGTCTTTTGGGTTCATTTAGAGCACACTATCACCAACAACAGTGACACCTGGTATACAGGAAAGCTAAAATAAGAAGCTAGGACAAGGAAGAAGAAAAATTGTACAATCAGTTCTCATTAAAGAAAACAATGCAAAAGATATGAAACATGATTGAAAATTTCAATATTCTAAAATCCATGAGCAAATATGACACCACACACATACTTTTGTAGTGCTATGCGACTATTGTAAATATTTTTATCTTGTTTCGTTTTTTTTTTGTACTGGTGTTTCGTTAGCCGTGTCAGTTTTTTTTGGTTATATCACATGCGGTTTGTTTTGTCACATTTCACCACTTATTGGGTCATGCAGTTACACATTGCCTATTGGCTAACCTATAGACCACGTGATAGGAAAGATCCACAGACGGAGGGAACTATAAAAAGGAGTGTACAACCTGAGTAAAGATCCTTTTTTTTTTTGTTCCTTGGCACTTTCAGATGTTCAGGCAGTCTACAAGGAAATCCAAGATATCATCAAGTGAAGATTTGACCTAATCTGTTTTTCCTGCATGAAGGTAATCAAAGAACAAAAAAAAAAGTTTTTTATCGAATGCTAATCACCAAGTATCAATGGTAAGGCCACGATATTTATAAGATATGCATGAAGAAGATTAATAAAATTAAGAGAACTGTTAATTTTAATATGATTAGGCTTTGTCTAAGAGCACATGGTGGATGTATACGATATTCTAAGAAATAGAAGATCGATAACTAAAAAGGTCCCATTCTGTGCCAGGAAGATTAAGTTACAAGTGTCATTTAATCCTGTAAATATTATATTTTGTCTATGCTCACTTTTGCACAATATATTCGTTTGATTTGTCGGAAAAATCAAAAAACTGTAATCAATTAAGTGTGGTGTCTAACCCTGGTACCTCATAGCATTGAGCTAACTGATACTTGGGGTGTATATAAATAAATGTGTTACCAATTTTCTAATGATTATCTTGTGAAGTCCTCATTTTTCTACCCATATATAGACATAATATACCTTGGTATATTAACCATCTCCACACTTTCTTGAATAAAAAAATATTGAATAATGGTGTTAATACTTAAAAATTGTGACTTTTGTATGCAGATATTACAGTGGAATAGTGTTGTATGAGGGATTTCTCCAATTCTTGAATCATGTTAGAGCAAAATTGCCTAATCAACAAATGTGCTACTGAAACATCACAACTGTTTCAAGTGGATATGGTAAAGATGCCATCAGAGCATGCAGTTGAAATCCTCCAAGTTCACCATACCCCAAAAAGGCATGCTTGTTGTACTCACAGTTCAAGATCATGCTGATATGTTTCTTCAATCACAAGGGGATAGTCCACCAAGAATTTATTGAACAGGGACGAATAGTCAACCAACAATTCTATTTAGAAATACTGCAGAAATTACAAGATTACGTTTGAACAAAAAGACCCAAACTGTGGGCTGACAAGTGGCTCATTCATCACAATAATGTGCCAAGTCACAGTGCACTCACTGTGAGACATTTTTTTGGTCAAAAAAGCAATTACACAATTAGATCATCCTGCCTATTCACCTGACTTAGTTCCCTGTGATTTCCAAAATTAAAAGCTGTGCTGATAGGATGAAGATTTTATAATTTAACTGATATCTAACAGAACATGAGACAGCTGTTCAACAGTATTCTGGAAAATGAGTTCCAGGCCTGCTTCCAGAAATGGGAATGCCATTTAAGTCAGTGTATAAATGTACGGTACAAGGAAAGTACTTTGAAGCTGACAGTTAGCAATAGTGTATAGTTCTGCAAGTACATATTTTAAAGGTGCATTCTGAGAATTAAATTGTCACACCTTGTATACTTTTTCATAAACATTATTCCTTTGCTTAAAAAAATCTTTAAAATAATAAACAACACTCAAGTAACAAAAAGAAAAAAAGTGAGTGGATTTGTATGTGTTTATTAACAAATATATGAGATTATATAAAAAATATAATCTCATAAAATATAATAAATAATTTCATAAGAGATAATATATATTAAAAAAAATTATCCAAAACATAACAATTACAAAAACAATTAAAAAAAGGAAATATATTGCAAAATTTTTAAAATATAGATCTTCAAGTAAAAAAGTTAATGTCAAGCATCTATCATATTGTATAATTTCTAGCAAAACTTTTGCAGGTTTCAAGCTCTTAAAGTCATTTGGAAATTCAAATCATCCAATGTACTGTACATTGGAAAATCTTTAATATTTTTCAAAATCATCCATCTCCCCAAAGTACAGGTAACCCCCGTATAACACGATAGTTACGTTCCAAAAAATTGTCGTGTTATGCGAAACAAAGAACTAGTACAAAAAGGAGGGTTAGGTTCCAAAAATTAAAAAACATGCTATTATATTTTCATAATTAAGATAAATATCTTTATTAAAATTTTCTTA